AAATCGGTTCCTATCAGCTTCAGCTCAGAGAAATCTTTCTCTTTAAAAATATAGTGCTTTCTGACGGCTTTAGTCATACTATAAATTTTTTGGAAAAAGTATTTTTCTAATGTTCAGCGGCTGATATTAAGGCTAATAAATAGAAAGAAGATGGTACCAGCTGATAAATGGCTTGATGTTGTTCAAGAAATTTGTTTCATTCAATTATGTTGTAATGATCATCTATTTAGAATATATTCAAAATTATTGAATGTGAGATGAGAAAAGTGACACAAGTTTAGATACTTTTCGAAAATATTTTCAAGGTGGTTGCATGGATTTTATATCCAACTAATTTTTTTATTATCTATTTCTGGTAACACCTGCCTTTTTCGCAATGAAAATTGATAAGGCTTTGCGGCGTGCGCACTGGACCAGTTGTGTTGGTCGCGAAAACGCTCTCCCATAAATCATCGGTCATATCATGGGCAGGGACGAAATTGTCTATGATACTTGCATTGTTAACTAGTATATTTCTGATTGGAATTTTACTTACTTAATAAATATTATTCTTTTTGCTGTTATGCTGTTGTTCTGCTTTTAGTTTAATCTGTTGCTTATACTAATTTTTGAAGATGTTGTTCTTATCGTGTGTGTTATATTGTAACATTATATTTTATCATGCAATAATTTATTTATTTTTGAAATGTTTTGTCTATTGTATGTTATTCTTTTTGTCAGATGGTATCGTCGACATCTAAATAATTGTCCTGACTCGTCGACAAGTATGAATTTCTAATCAATAGATAAAGACCAAAGAATAATACTTATTTATAAAATTGCGTATGAAAATGTATGCAATAAGGTGCAGGAAATTCATAAGGTGAGCACTATCTTGCTTTCGGCTAAATCATACACCATACGCAAGAGTGCATCGAACTGAGTAGGAAAAAGTTGGTTTTAGCTATTCAAAACATTTTTTCAGATCGAATAGCCTTAAAAACTTGAAGGGTCTGATTTTTCGAAAAATGTCTCTGTTTTTCAAGTCACTCGAGTTTCTTCTTATAAGGTTCTTTTCAAGTTTTCAAACTATTCTTTTCTAATGTAGCATCCAAAACTGATTCTAAAAATGCTATTGAATCGAATGCGGAAGCAATAGTCTTTTGGAATTTGGCAGCCAAGATCATACCTCTCACAACGGTACTAGGTGATTTTGTAAACCTATCTAGTTTTTTCCCTTAAAAGTTGTAGCCAAGATTTTTATCTCATCTTATTCACTGGACAACGGGCTACAAAAGTATATGCCAGTTTAAAAAAATGTTGCTTCACTGCTGAGAAACTTCGCTTTTACTGAAATTTTGGCATTGCTGCCAGCAATCGGGCAAGGTATCTTTCAACTAAAATCCTTATGTTGGGTCAAACATCGTCAAAATATCTCTGAATAAGTGAAAAATTATGAAGAATTCAATGAGCATAATTTCATGGTCTTGAACGGTTTTCTCTGAGATCTCTAGAAAACCTTTTGTTGAATATAACTTTTTTCTCCTAGGTCGTGTTGAATATTACGTCTTATTCGTCCCTTGAATACTACTGAGAGAGAACCAAGCAAAGAAGAGAAGAGAAAAAACTTTATGTACCTTCACGCGAAATAAAGAGTATAGACATGTGAGTAAGAGATAGATATATTAATGATTTTCAATGTTATATGTGTAAAATGATTTTCTAAACATATTATTGCCTTTAACGGAAAAAATTCACACATTCTTAAAAGAGCATGCACCAACAGATCAAACATCCACCCATAAGATCATAATATAGTCAATTTTTTTTGCTGAAAATTATTTGACTATCCGACCTATAGTTACTGAGTTATGAAAAATTGGAAAAAGTTGTGTCAAAATTCAACATCTTCAGTATTTTCAATTTTGTGGTATTTTTTTTATTTAAACTCGTTGAATCATACATCATACGATAGAGAAGCAAAAACTAAATAGAATGGCTTATTCTGCTGTCCTAAAACTTTGAAAATGAAGGCACAAAATCCAAATTACTAAAAACTTTCAAAATTTTCGAATAAAATCAAAATTTTGAGGAACATGGCGAAATTTGGGAAACAAATGTAGCAGCCAGAGCGAAAAATATCCATGCAACTCAAACCCCTGAGGTCTTCTTTTTGATGGTCGACTAATTGGTCCGTCGCAGCTCATGGCGAATGGAGAGAAAACTGAAATTTCATGGTGCGTAATCGCGATTGAATAGATTACTTTTGGCTAAAAACTCATTATCTTAGGTTTTTCGAAAAAACTTTGATTTCTATCACATTTTATAAAAATAAAGATGAAATAAATGGTTATTCTCCTTCTGCGACCATGGATTGTCTCAATTGTCAGATCAGTAGTTTTAAGTCGTGTTGAGTTACCCAGATCGACTAAAACTAACGTAGCTCGAAAAGAGATTATTGAATAGAACTGGCGCAGCTAGTTCCGAGTAAAAAATGTCAATGGTCGCAGAAGGGGAATAACCATTTATTTCACCTTTATTTTTATAAAATGTGATAGAAATCAAGCTAAAAAAATCAAAAAGAAATCAAAGTATCCAACTTTTTCCAGTTTTTCATAACTCAGTAACTATAGGTCGGATAGTCAAATAATTTTCAGCAAAAAAAATTAACTATATTATGATCTTATGGGTGGATGTTTGATCTGTTGGTGCATGCTCTTTTAAGAATGTGTGAATTTTTTCCGTTAAAGGCAATAATATGTTTAGAAAATCATTTTACACATATAACATTGAAAATCATTAATATATCTATCTCTTACTCACATGTCTATACTCTTTATTTCGCGTGAAGGTACATAAAGTTTTTTCTCTTCTCTTCTTTGCTTGGTTCTCTCTCTGTAGTATTTACACGTAGTTTTCTCGTTCGTCAAAAACAAATGATGTCATAGTTGCTATTAAATAAATACAGTAGCCTTTGCTAATTACTCAATATGTTTTCTGTCTGATACAACAACTGAATTTAATCAAAAAGATGAAGTAAGTGGACTTTCTCGTACAGTACACTATGTCTATGCAACAATCACAACATATATATATTTCACTGTAAAGTTACTGACTGTATAAGACTTTCATTATAATTTCAGATGAAGAGTATCGTTATTTCAACACTCAAGTCCTTTTCAAATGAAATAATATTAGAAATTCTAAAACAATCAAATTTTCGTGACCTTCTTTCATCATGGTAGAATTTAAATAAACGATTATAAACTGTTTAACGGAACAATTTCATTCGTTAGGTTTATTATCTGAAGCCTGAGATTAGCTAGCACCTTTTTGAACTGTCTATACATCGATCCAAGTGACTAGAAGATCGTCGCCGTGACTTCCACATGTTAAGTTACAACTTATTTTAAATCCAGGTGCGATTCATGAGAAATGGCTAACCCCTAGGTATCATTGCATGATAAATACAATAAGCATAATAAATAATAATAATAATGCATGATAAATAAATGTTCAATCATATCATTGAATAGCCCCTTCAATTCTATACAGAATGAGATTCTGACTAAGTTTCTACGAGCTTGGACGACCGTGTTACAGGCTTTTTAACATTACGAATATAAATCCATCGAAAATGTTTGCTTTAATGCTGAACTCCAAGTCTCCAGCATCTTCCAGTGAAAAGTTATTAGACATACAGTGACTGGCCTTTTTTTTAAAATGGATAGTAGTACATCTCGATGTGCGCTTTCAAACTAGACTAGTTTTAAAAAAATTCACTGCGCTCATTGAAAGAAAAGGCATTTTTAAATTTTCGTAGCGACCTGTGAACAAAATCCTTACCATGATCAGTCCTCAAGAAACGAGAAGTTTTTGAATTAGCTATCGGATAGAGCTCATTTCGAAGTATATATGTTACAAAAATCTCGACTTTATCTCTCATACTTGCTGAGAAAATTAAACTTTACTTTGGCATCTACAGCAAAACTCAGCTCTCTATAACTAACCACACCTATTAGAAAAATGTTTATATCTCTTGAACGGAATAACCGTTTGAGCTGAAACTTTCTGGTTATTCCTAAATGTGTTTGATCTTCATATAAAAGTTTGAGTGAAATCGGACACACCTTGGATGCAATATTCCGCTGTGTTCTGCTGACTTTATCATGCAATGACTCTTAGTGGAGCATAAATCGGTAGTTATCAGCAATCGTGATGTTTGAAACAAACGTTCATGACCATCCCGTGCACTATATCATCGGAAGACACGATCAGCGCAGAAAAACAACGGACGGTAGGAACGAAATACATCTCTTCGACAGGCAAGGTTTTCGGAAAATCTTTTTTGACCAACAAAAGATATATTCGAAAATATGACTTGTTTGTAACAAGAATATAGATAGTAAGAGATATTGGAAGACAAAACAACGTAAGATACACAAGTCAACGAGACTTTTCTTCATACGTATTATATGCGATCTGTTAAAAAAATGGATTCTTTATGTGCGGCACACCAGAGTAGAAGAAATGTTTTTTTTGTCGCACAGCACCGGCAGAACGCTGGCAAGATACCCAAGCAAAAAATGCTCTACGGAGAAACTATAGCACTAATTGAAGAAAAATTTGATGTTGGTGTTGTTGTGTAACAGTCTCACTAGAAGAAGTAGGTGGAAAAATCAATGATAGGTAGACTCTATCAGAAATGAGTTCATTTGAATAATAAAATTCTGATGAGTTATCAAATTTAACTTCAAGGTGTTGTATAATATGAGCAACAGAACTGAAAGATGATCCCTGATCCCATTTTCTTCAGTGTTGTAGATTGTTTTTTCTCATGAGTATATGATGTTAAAGATAATGTTAAAGATAAGAATAGTAAATAGAAATGAGTAAAGAGCGATATTTACGCAAAAAAGCAAAGAAGCAGCGGTTAACTAGAAAACTGGTAAGTGCATGTATAACGGAAAGATTAGAAAAACTATTCAAAATTGTCACCTTTTACAGTTCAAAAAGTATCTATGTACGTTATTACGGGTGCAACAGGTCATGTTGGCTCCTCCATCGTCGACCAACTACTGTCACAATCAGTCCCAGTCCGTGCAGTCATTCGTTCTGAAACCAAAGCAGAATCCTTTACATCCCGTAATGTAGAAGTTGCCCTCGCCGATTTAACGAACACCGACGCATTGGCCAAAGCATTTCAAGGAGCAAAAGTCGTTTTTGTAATAAATCCTCCAGCTTATGCCAGTTCGAATATGCAAGCCGTTGCAGTCAAGGTTAGCAACGCCCTGGCTTTAGCCGTTAAAGCAGCACAAGTGCCGCGTATCGTTATTTTGAGCTCAATAGGTGCGGAGAGAAGTTCAGGCACAGGATCCATTCGAACCACACATATATTAGAAGAAGCATTGAAGGGAACCGCTCCCCAGGTTGTAATTGTTCGTTGTGCTGCGTTTATAGAAAATTGGTTAAGCTCCGTTTTAGCAATCAAAGCAGGACAGTCACCTGTGTTAAATTCCATGTATCAGAAACTAGATCACAAAATTCCTCATATAGCCACGGATGATATTGGACGCGTTGTTGCCGAATATTTGACTAAGTCAGATGGAGAAGTTGCCAAATCTGTCTTGATCGAGTTGGAGGGACCTGAACCTTATAGTCCAAATGATGTTGCAAAGTTGATTAGCAAGACTTTAGGTAAGACTATTCCAGCTATTGCAATGAGTGACGATATGATATGGGAACTTTGCGATCAGCTTGGATGGCCAAAAACGACTGGAGATAATTTTATTGAGATGATGAAAGCATACGATAACAGCATAATTTATTGGACGACGAATGAAAATTCCATTAGAGTGAAAGGTAAACTCACTTTGGATGATGTTCTTGGTAAAGTTTTGAACTAAACGGTTTTTTGTGTATTTGTTTTTGCCATCAAAGTAATTTGGCTAAATAACATATATTGTGCTTCCTTTGGCTTACGAGACGATTTGTCAGCCGGCCGAGAAAAGCAGTCACGAGCAAAAAATTAACCTATGGTTTTTTATTGTATGTTCGGATTCTACAATCAAATCTAGGATTATGAAAAAAAAATTTCCGCTTCAGACTTATTTTGACGGAGTTATAGAATTTACGAAATGAGGCCCATCAGGAAAGTTCGAAAAAGTGCTACTTAGGGCTGATCAAAAGTTCGTAGAACGATGTTTAAATTTTTATAAAATACTTAACATCGAAAGATTTATTGCATGAATACTTACGAGGATAGGTCCCCAACTGTCAACTCGCTTTTGAGTTCTAAGCTAGTGGACAATAGGTAATCAAACATGCTGAATCCGACTATGACAAGCATTTGGGCTGCTAGGCCTCCGCAGACCCGGTTTTTGAAAAACCAGTTTTCTAGGTCAAAAACTTTTTTTTCCAAAAAATTTTCTGATCTGTTCAGATTGTAGAGCATATCAAGAAACCTATGAAAAACATATTTTTTAAATTTTTGTAAGGGCTTTGAAATGTTTTTCAAGGGCAAAACTAAGATTCTGTAAAGGCAAAATTACTTTTCTTGTCTTTTGTTACCTTTCAATAAAAAATAAATGATAATTGGGTAAACGACCACAGAGATTCCGAGTATAACCAGTAGGTACTAGAAAGGAATAACCAAAAGCTATCAGTTTTACTTTCGCAGAACGTTTGCCTTAAACTCTGGAGGGACTAGGTTCTTATTCAAAGGTGTTTCTGCTTTACGTTCTTTACGTCTTTTAACTGGAGTCATCATGATTGTTAGGAGGGAACCTTCCATCTTTCCTTCTCTCACCACATTCATTCTTAACAAGGGGTGGGATCTGACATCACTACCAGACACAGCTATGCAATCCCGCTTCACAATAATCTGCACACCTCTCTCTCTCTTCTCTTTTTGTTGTTTTGTATGCAAGTCAGTTGTCGGTTTGTTGGCGTATGTTAGTCGATTTCGCCGGTATTTGGAACAGCACGGAACGAAGCGACAGAAATCTTCTGATGTGGATGCAATTGTATTTCAAAAGTTTCTGGACGCTCGTGAACTAGCATTGCCTCTGCATGACGTCGATCTCCAACGATGGGCACTGAAAGCAGGTACAGAAGTTCAGTTGGACGATTTCCATGCTTCGCACCATTGGATCTATAACTTCAAAGTCAGACATCACGTTGTATCGCGCAGAATAACGAATGTTGTCACTCTGCACGAAATCGAAAACACCAGCGAAATTCTGAGAACGGAAAATGATTTCCGTGACAAGTTCTTCAAGTCCTCGTCTCATTACAGTTCGTTGCAGGTACTGAATACGGATCAGATGGGTGTAGAAAAAGAGCTGTACTCCAAACGCACTCTGACAACGGAAGGTGAAAAGAAAGTGTTCGGTAGTGTTCGATCGAAAAATGCCACAACCCATAGTTATACACTGCAGCCAACCATTCTCTTGACGGCCAGTTGGTGGGCCCGATGTACCTGTGCTTGCAAGAACCAAAAGGTAGAATGGGCGAGTTGATCAAAAGAGATCTTTTTGAACCGAAGAACGTCGTCATAACCTGTTCCAGCAGCGGCAAACTAACGTCATCTCTTGTACGCTACTGGCGTGACAATTATTTGCTGCCCTTCGTAGGTAATCAGTGTTTGTTGCTGTCGGACAGTTGGCCCGGTCAAGGCGCCGAGGAGTTGTACACGAAAGAAGAATGTGGTGGAAAAGCAGTACAGCGTCTAGCGATTTCACCGAAAACCACATCAGATCTACAACCATTGGACTGCCACACGAACCGTCAAATCAAAAACTTCATTAAGAAGTGTTATCAACGTGTGGCCCTGGATGAACTCGATATCGACCTCTATCAGCGAAATAACATCATCAAGCTCACATCTCTCGTCCATAATCAGTTGAGTGCGCCGATATTTGCGCCAATGATCAAGTATTCGTGGTACGCCGCCGGCCTTCTCAAAACGAATCCAGCACCATTTTCCAGCCTACTTGAAGTCTGTTTCCCATCTCTTGTCACGCACGAAGAATGTGTAGAAACGAAATGTGGCGAAAGTATGTTTATCCACTGCTTTATTTGCTCCAAAAAACTCTGTTTCGGTCACTTCTTCGTCTCATACCACTTCCATGATTCAACGATCCATGGTAGCAACTGATGATTTTCGAGATGCTCGGTTGTTTGCAAGATACGGAAGAAGGCATACTTTTTTAAAATAAAGAATATGCA